GTAAATGTTCATTTTAGACATAATTAGTCTATGTTGGGAATGTTGTAGCTGAGAGATGTTAGTTCTTCCTTGGAAATGAGTAATACGTTTCTTGTAACGACCCGGGAGCACCCCCAAGCAATTACGCGACAAACTCGACCTCTCGAATGTCTTGTACAAGCCTCTTAGCATTCATTCATCACATATATATGAAAAGTAGTGTTGACTTAAAACTTTTCACAATAAATGTAAAACTCTTTTATAGAGATATAGGAAAGAACTAAGTCTTTCCATAAGTCATCTTAGACACGTATAATATCATGAGGTCACAATCCTTACATCAATTTGAAAAGAAACCCATACTCTATGGCAATTTCTCTGAAGAAAAAGGAAACTAAAACATATTCCATGTCCTCGAACATATTAGAACAGACCAATTTTAAGAGAATTCAATTTTCCAAGCGTAAACTTCTAAAAATATCTTGACTTGCCACCTACACATGTAGACATAGAAGACATATATAATTAGCACATTGAATACAGTAAGTATGGTGAACATGCAAAAAAACCATGCAAAAAGGGCCATTTAATTTAACATATGCTTTCATGCTATTTTGATAGAACCTTCATCATAAAAGTTTAAAAGACATAGTACAAGTCAACAATCATATGTAAGACATATTCCATATACATTCTGTAACCTTTCATCACTTTAGATTCCCTCCCTAAAGTTACTCCAAAACTCACCTGAGTAAGACATGAAGAAACCGCCAATTCACCCTTTTCAAAAACACATAAGTTATCCTCAAAGCTACCCTAGGTAAGAACCATTCTATTCATCTTACCTTCACTAAGTGAACATTATTCATTAAAGCCATTTAATTGACAAGTAAACAATTAGAGGAATTAGCAAAATGATCTTGGAAGACCTAGGGAACTCACTGTAGCATCTTCAAAGCATACTCGTTTCATGTGCATATAGAGTCCCATTTAACTACATATACATTGTAGAAATTCTAAAACACTAGATTGTACATACCATACGATCAGAATAAGCATTAAAAAACATAGTCCACACTAGCTAGGTATGGAATCCGGTGTCATAAATACCCCACACCGTGGAAGACGTTCTACCTGCCAAGGGTAGAAGTAGGACACATCCCATGTTAGTACATTCAAAATATCAAGGGATTTTATGAAGTCTAGTGTCATCTCAATTACAACTACTACCACAAGTATATCCAGTAAGTGCTTTGTCTTTGTTCTTAAAGAGTAATTCCTTCACATAATAGTATTTTAGATGGTACCAATTCTAAGTCCTACAAACTCAACATACTACTACCAAGAATAAATCAACTAGGATCTATCGATCAATGTCTATTAGGATAGATCTTATGACTTTCTTAAATGTAGTCTCATACCATTCCGACCGACCACTCTCTATGTCTATCGTTCCACTCAAAAAGGGCACCATCTAGGTCAACCTATCAAGGATTCCTTATTGACCTTCTTTTTAATATTCAGGGTTTTGTATTCTTAACCTTCTTATCATATTCAAAGTTCAATCAATGTCTTTCATTGAAGACTACCTATTTTAGGTCTACCGATCCTAGACATTCATTCTTTCATTCAATCAAGAAAAGGGTGACAAAGACTACCAAGTCAATACACCACATTCATCATACCATTTATTTAATATAGCTCAAAATACCAAGTAGGGAAAACTAGTCTACTAACACAAGATACAACATCATTCTATAAAGGCTCTCCCTAGGCCATCAACATTATATATTAACAATTATAAATCTATCTAGTCATTGCTTTATAGCACCCATAAAAGATCATATATGCATCACATGAGCAAATTCACTTTATATATTTATGCATACATTATCATTATGATACCATAATTCACAATATAATGTTGACAAGGCTATGAAGATTACAAAAATTAAACACCTCCACTATAAGTGGACCATACAAAAAAATGACAATTTAATATCAATTCAATAATTAAAAAAGAAATTGGGTCAATTCACCACCTTCCAATAGCCATAATCACCATTCCTTAGCCTTCCCAACAAATCACATTACAAGAGATCTTTTCTAATATCAATATACATAAGACTAAGCCAACCATTCAACTATATCTATGATCCATCAATACTTAATATAGATATTAACATTATAAAGAAAGCTATGAACGATTCTAACCGTGATCAATGTATAAATCAATAGCCCATAATCATCTACCCATGGATTCAATACAATTAACCCATGATAAGTTCACTCACATTAGAGTCAAATTAGGAATTCAAGGACTACATAGGACATGAAGTTTGTGATCTTAAAACATTCAATGAACATTGACAAATCCATAAAATATCAATTTAAACCTTTTCATGCAAGAACTCATGCTTATTATTCAAAATAGAATTTTATGGTTTTGGAAGATCTTTTAAAAACGTTTGGAATTTTCTCCCTGAATGAAAGAAAAATCAACAATAAATCACTATACTTTATTGGCATAAATCCCACGAAATTTGGGTTTAAAACCTGCAGAATTGGGCCTTCTTCCTTGGAGCTTCATAGCTTCATCAATGAAGTCTTTGGAGAAAGAGAATGGAGAGATTTTGATTTCAACTTAAGGTTTTATTTTTATTGCTGAATAAGGGTTAAAAATTACTCTAAAACTATTTATAATAAGACCCCAATACTACCCTACACTAATTTTACCTTTTAACCAAGTATAATTTGACTTTAAAATGACGCGACCAGATCTGAAACATGACTGCGCCTAGAGGGGACACTTCCAAATCATTGTTTTGGAATTTAATTTGAGGCAGAATTGTTTGTGTTGAGACCTCTTCGCATAGAAATTTTTTTTCCCTTTAAGATAGGGCTACACGACGTGCCCTATCCTCCAAATAAAGGCTTCTTGCACGCTGCCTTGCAGACCCTTGCCTAAGTCTTGGGTCCTCCTCAAGGACCCTTTGTTTGGTTCTTTAGGAATTTTGCTCAGCCTTTTTCATACTAAACATGTCCCACTAAGTGTTAGGTTCATCGGCACTACTTTTAGACACCAAACAAAACCATATAAACATGCACAACAAAGAAGGACACACTAGCACACCATAAGACTAGTTACTACGTTTGACTTCCGAACTCTTAAAGTAACTTCTAAAGCTATTATTCATAATGTTAAAACCTTATTCACTCATCACACAAATTATAGAATATAGTTTAACCTAGTTCATTTTGGGGTTCTTACATTTCATTCATGAATTTTATGTTGCATTCAATACGTCTAGTTTGGAAGTAATGTTTCCTTAGTTGGGTGTTTGTATTATAAAATGATGCATACAATATGGGATGATACTATTATGTTATTGTGTTTGACTATTAATTTTCAAGGTGTCATTCGTGGAAGAATTTTTTTTGGTGGAGGGGGGGGGGGAAGAGGGAGGGGGGAGGGGGTGGGGAGTCTATTTAAACACCCAGGAAATCGTATGACCTAAGCTAGAGAGCTACATGAGGTTTAATTACTAAAAAAAGGATTAAAAATAGTTTATTGACTTAATATAAATGTAATTAACATAGTTGATAATCTTATAAGTAAAGCATCTAGAAACGATCATGACGTCGTAAAATAATCCAGTTGAACTATTGTGTGTAGGGTCTTGTGGTTGAGTTTTGCACTGTAGTATAAAGTTGAAATACAGTATCAAGAGTTCTTAAACATAGATGGACATGTTTAGGTTCGAAATTTATTTATACATCTTCTCATGGACTACTGCAAGGGTCCTTGAGGAGGAACCAAACAATGGACTGAAAAAGTTGTCAAAACACAGCAGCCATCCACGAAACCCATCGACGGGCTATCAATGGATTAATGGGGAATGGGTTTGCTTCGTGAGTTGATATTTTGTATCCTCACCAAATCATCCCCAAAAAACCTTCTGATAGACATCATGGAGGTGAAGCTGAAGGTGTCATAATACCTATGGTATGTAGATGGTGTCTTTCAATGGTGGCAACTTCTCAAGTTTAGTTTTTAAGATAGGGGTCATATTTTGAGTTATACATTTAACTAGGGGTTAGGATGGGTGGTTATTGAATTAATTACCTTAACAAACTTATCTAAAAACCACCCAATACCAATACCCCAAGTGATGAAACCAAAACTCTCTCTAAAAAATATCTCTCTAAAATATAAGAAGAAGAAGAAGGGAGGCAACAACCTAGTTTTAATTATCCTTGGATTCAAGTTTAGTTTAAGCAATTCATAAGAGGTATTTTAATATCTTTCAACCATGGATTCTTGCATCCATGTAAGCCCCATAGTTTCCCCCAATTGTGAATCCAAAATATCCCAATCTACCTAAGGTTGTGATTACATTGTGGATAAGACTCTATTGTGACTCCAATATAGTGGATAACATTCAATTTTGTTTGAATTATGTTTATATAATGATTATATGATTTTTTTCATGTGAAATTCTTGATGAACCTTAATCTAAGATGATGAAGGTGATCAATGTGGGTTTAAGCGATTAGTGGAAAAGTTGAAGGTTCTAAATTGATCTTTTTAATTCAATACAACTGTTAAATAACCCTATACATTTAGTATTTTTATAAGTGCAGGTCAGAGAGTAGATTGAAGACTCGTTGCAGTGGTTTGGACTCAGCGTTCTCCAAACCATTTGGTAGGACCTCTTAAGTTTGAGGATGACACGTCTAGCTTCATAGCCTAGTATTTAGACATATATAGAGGATGTTGTCCCTAGAGTTTTTTCAGATATTTTCATTTCGAAGCTTTTGTGTTAGGGTCATTTATGCAAACTTATTATGATATATGTTGATTTCTTCTTTTGAATTGTGTAATCCATTCAAGATTGTTGTTTTAGTTCGACCTTATTGTATATGAATTCATGTAACTTTTAAATGAAGTCTATGCATGACACATTATGTTTGAAAAGTTTTAATTTTTTCGCAAAATTTAACAATATGAATGTTATGAATGCAAAAAAGAGGCTTGTCTATGACCTCTAGGAGATTAAAGACGGTGGTTGAATTCGGATTCCAAAGTTCGGGTGTGAAAGCACACAAGATCATGTATACCTCGTCAAGGAAGTCTTATGGATCTTCATTCACCTTAGACCCAAAAAACATTGGAGGGTTCATTCTAGTGAAGTCCCTCAAGGAAGAAGCCATGGTACTAGAATTTTAGTTCACACAAGGTACAACTTCCCGGTTTGCTTGATCCATCATAGCTTGAGCTTGAATAGTCATAGCTTGAACAACACTTAGAAAAGATGACCTTATCTCTCCGTCCATCATGGCCGGAGGATTGAACGAAGCTTGGTCACCTTGAGGAGCTTGTTGTTGAAGAGGAACCTGATTTCCATGGGGAGGGGCACCCACATTAGATATATCTTCTTAAACTCTTCTTGTATCTACCATTCTTGTAGTCATGGCCTATAACCACAATAAAATGGTTAGATCAATGAGGACACATAGAGTTAACATTGTTGAGCCACGACACAGGAATACCAAGAAAATGAGTCCTTAGACTAGCCCTTAGCATACATCATGTCATATAATAGGTAGAGTAAATGCAAAATTTTTAAAACATGTATATATGAAGTACACATATACTTTTGAATTATCATAATGGAGTTTACATCGACTCCTCTTTTATGAAGTTTACATAGACTTCTCGTTTAGTATAGTCAATTCATTTAAGTAATCGTATATTTGTCTCACACATAACCATCTATTTATGAATTGAACGATTCAGGCATAGCCCTAAAACTAGTACAATATGTCTCATATAGGCTTACAACAAATTCTTATGATAACAATAGAATAATTGTCTTAGACATAGTAAATACTACTAAAGCTAGAAAAAGTAGCATCATCATCGAACATGAGTACTGACCAACAACATGGGAAATATATCATTGTCTTCCTTGTAATGACCTTGAGATATCTTGAATGGCCTGAACTGATATATTTGTAGAAATATAAAGAATATGGATTAGTATAAGCCATATGTACTAAGTATGGAAACATATGCAATTAAAACTGTTGAAATCATGCACAAAGGAATATTTTGTTTAAACATGCTAACTCATTTTTGAAAGCCTCTTTGCACACACAAGAGAATATACATGACAATGATCACCACATCACCAAGACTTTTTCATATCCATATACAAGAATAAAACAATCATAAAGTCATAACAACAATTGATGTTCTAGAGTTCATATAATTAAGACATACAAGAGCCTTACTTTGAATCCAATCCGAAGCCTACATGTGAAATGCTCCTGTGATGCACCATAACCCACCATAACCATGTAAAATAGAAAACAATTCATAAGTAATGCATTTATCTCATATAACATAACATCATTTTTAGTCATCATCTTACATAAAAAATTTAGACAAATATCATGATCATAAAATGAAACCAACACATATAAGAGAAAATTTATAAATGAACAATATATATGCATTTTCTTCATTAAATAATTGCATAAGAACAACCTCTTAGGACTCCTATTAAGATCAACTTGTGAAAAGCATAGGTAAAGTAACATACCCTTACCTACAGTAAGTAAAACCTCTAAGGTCACCCTAGTTAGTATCCTCTATATTTCTTTCATTCATTCATTTTACTTTCGGGAACATTAACATAATCGACAATAGACCATATGAACTAAATATGGAATTTGTCATCATGAAAATCTACACCAAAAACGGTGCTCTACTTGCAAAGGTAGAATCATAACATGAACATAACATTCTAGCTGGATGCATAGCTAGTGTTCCTTTTGGGGCACATAGTAAAGAAACTAGGATATTAGCTAGAAACTTATGTATGCACATTTTCATGGTAGTCTCCATATCATTAGAATCATTGTGAACCTACCTTCCCTAATTAGGAAGGGACACCTCCTATATCTAGTTCGTTCAGTGCTAATTTAAAGTCCATTTTTCAAATTTCTTAAAGCCTTTCTTAATCATCATTTCTTAATACAGGCCATACGAGACAAACAATTTGTATAATCATGTAATTTTCTCATTAGGTTTAGAGTGAAGTTCTTTTCATCACAACCCAACATTAGTGAGATCATCACATCATAGTCATATCACAATAAGGCACACAAGAGAATAATTTTGAACCTTGGATAATCATATCCCTATCAAAATCTCACATTCAACATATTCATAACATACTATAATATTCATCATATCATAATCTTCCTATTCTATTAACATATTCATACTTCAATTTTACATCATCATCAAGAATAGACTAACATTCCATCAATAAAGTGTTCATCACATTTGCGAATCTTACAAATAAGTTCCATGAATATCCTTGAATATTTCACCATCAATTCTACAATATTATTCATAATTTTACTCATTATCATCATAAAATAGTAAAATATACAATAACTAAGTCAATTACATAATCCCTAATCACCAATCAACCTAATTCATACTTACGGTTAGAAGAAAAGTGAAAATCATGGATCTTTCATGGAAATTAGGTCAAAAGTCTAAGGCAATACAATAATAAACCAAAAAGCAATCATAATCGATCAATAAAAATCAATACAATACAACATTAAATCAAATTGAAAGATAACCCAAGAATTAGGATGAAAATAATCATTTTAGACATCTTTGGAAATAAATTTTAAAGAGCCTCTTTAGGAAAAGGATTCCAAGAGTGAATAGATCCCACACCTTAACAATCCAAGAAGAATGATGGAATAAAACTTGAATATTGGAGACCTAATCATTCTCGAAACTTGGTGTTCAATGGGGGACCTTGGGTGGTGAGAGAAAGTAGAGAGAAGTGGGCGTGAATTGGTTTTGGGAAATAATGAGGTCTTAGGTTAGTTAATGACTTAGGGGGATGATGTTGTCCTCAATTAACTAAGTAAAAATTTCCTTAACCATTAATTAACTACCTAACTAATTAACTAAAATCTCTTAACTTAACTAAAATTTTGACAATGAAGTCATGTCCAAATGACTGATCCACATTGACGGACCGTAGTCCAAACCATGAACCGTCACGGTCATCCATGGTTTGGATAAGAGAGTTATTCTTGGAGAATTTTTGAAATTATTATAAGTTTGAAGAACGAGATCCGTCGACGGGTTGTTTCCCCATCGATGGCTCGTCGTTTGGTTCGTCAATGCTCATTGTCAATTTACAACTTTTAGGGTCAAATTTTAAGGTCCTCTTCAAGGATCCTTAGGGTGGTTCTTGGAGATTCGTACCCAGACGTTTCAATCATAAACACACTCTAACATGTATTCTAAATTTTTTTACCAAGTTTACATAATTTTGACTCTTTAAACCCCTTGATACATACCAAGGCCTAGTGGTTAATTTTCACAAATCTCCAGACATCTTGGTCGTTTCTTGACGTTTTGACTTTTACACTTCCTAATTGAGTTATTTTCCTTTTTTAAAGCTTAGAAACACTGTTTTACGTCGTAGTTTATCAAATAAGGCATTAGACTAGGTCATGGAATTTGTGGAGTGTTACACCAAACCCAAATAGTTATCTTGCTTAAACGAGGTAATCCAATCCCATATTTAAGCCAGAACGTGGCAATCCGATCTAAAACACACACCACAATCACAAGAATCTCTTTAAGATCATATATTTACATCATGATTTCTTGGTAGGCATCATTCATCTATCACATTTACAGAAGTGTGATCAATATTCCAACATTAATGTATATAAACATATCACAATGAACCCAAGAAGATTCATATATCACACAATCAGATAATCATAATCATCACATACCTAGAAAAAAGTTTAAAACCCTAATAAACTTGAATCTCCGCTTTAAATATTTATTCCTCTTGTTCTTTGTCTACAAAAAATCATAATAGCACGAGAATCAACAAACAAAGGCTCATTACCTGAAATGATAACATTCTACGAACACTAGATCAAACCATTGATTCCAACTAGACGATTTAGGATTGTCTCTACCATCGAATTGATAAAAAAACCTTCCCCATTAACATTTTCCCATTCAATTACGTTTTACAGATCAAAAAATTGATTGGGGCCTAGAAAAGCGTACATTTAGTCCAAAAGAATGGTTAAAATGGCTAGAAATCCCATGGGGGTAGTTCCTTATATCTAAAAGTCAAAATGTGTCAAATAAGGTCGTCTGGGTTTTATTAAAGACATTGGGTCACTTTTGGACTGCCACAACGGTCCTCATCTCATTGTAGCAACCTTGTCAAAGTGACTCAATTACCGCCAAAGCGACACTTTTGAACAAGTGACCTCTTCCTAAATCATCTTTGATTTTGAGTTCCGTTGCACCTGCCAGAACGCCCCCATCCAACTGTGGGGGGTCCTTCTAAAGTGAACAAACACCCGCCGAAGTGTGAAAATTTACCAGGATGTTTTTTTTAAAGAATTCTAAAATCCCATTTCTATAACACACCTCTAAACCACGACACTCAGTAAATACATTGTAGGCTTATTTCGATTCTTCGCTGATGTACTCACATAAATTCAATTCCCGAAAGTCGTACGGGTTCTTTAACGAGTTATCTAACTACTCAAGAGATATAATTGGTACATGGTTTACCCGATTGATACAATATTTCTCTACACTTTAATGACTCAGATGACCTAAAAATCATTATAAGGTTGGAGAGATCCAAATTGTACTAAATGTTTGTCCGGAGCCTATTTTCACCCATTTGCATTTCTATATTGACGAAAACATGACGTTAGGACATTAAACTAGGTCGATAAATCATGTGTATCAGACATTAACATAATTCGTAAGAAACATTTATTTGTTTAGTTCAAATATAGAGAGAACTCCCTTATCATGAATCAACAGACAATACTTTTTGTGCTTATCATGATCAAATTTGTTGATCTAGCTAAGCATATGATTCCCCGTCAGACATATCACATACTTTTTCACTTTGCATCGGTGAAACTGATTGATGTACAGTGCCAATTATTTCTTCAAACAGACATATGCCCATTTTAGAAAAAAAATATCATCAATTTCCTTTTCGCATTCCTCTTTCTCTGGAAAAGTGGTTCCTCAACTTCAAACTAGAATATAAAATGAAGTATTTCTTTGACAGGAACATGTTCCTTTTCTTTTGGCTGAATTACTTTATTATGATCATCATAGTCGTTATTATATGGGAATTTACACTCCTCATAATCAAACCCTCTTTATACGACTCCTCTAGTGGATGAAGAAAAGCCCGATGAAGAGGAGTCGGTGAGGAGGGGTCTGATTATGAAGAGTGTCAATTCTCATATGAAGATTGTTTGCATAAATTTTTTATAAAAGGTCATTAAGTTCTATCAAAATTATTTAAAATGTATTAAAAAATTAAATTAAATTATATAAAAAATATAGAATTTTTTTATAAGAGAAGTGTTACATAACACTAACAGTTCAATATATAATTTAGATACACCTTACAAAAAAATAATGTCGCGTTATAATTTCATTAAACAAGTGCATTATGAGTTTTCAATAACATGCATACAAAACTAATCTAGGAAATAATGCAACACCATACAAATCTACTCGTCATAAGTTTCTGAATTTTAACATAATGATGTCATACTTGCACATGTGTTTTACGGTCTTTCACAATTGTATAAAGGGCATAAGATATTATTTATGTTCATAAGGGACATGTATCACCAAGCCAAGTTAAAAGTGTTTCTATACTGTATATTTTCACTTTATTACATATGAGGGTAAACCTTAAACCACTATATCACTTAGACATACCTATCAAGTAAAAGGGCTACGAGTCTTCTTTCAAACATTTTCCAGTTTGGATTAAACAAAGTATAATAAAAAAGTATAGTTGATTTACGAGATACACTTTAATCTGGAAGAAGCTTAGTTATGACTATGTGATAGAGTGAATACATACATCATTGTCTGGTCAAATAATAGAAACCCTCTGATTTACAACTAAAATATAAAAGCTTAAATTCCTCTCCTTTAAGGATGAAAATAAATTGTGGATGATATTGGACATGAATACAAAAAATTCTTGCATGTAAAAATTATTGTATGATTTATTGGACTACAGCAAGTTCTGCATAACTGAAAGATAACAACTGTTTAAAGGTGAATAAAAGGCAGTTGTATAAAAACTTAATTTCCAGAAAAAGTTTTCAGATATTTTCCATTGGTAACATGATTTCAAGGCCAACTTTTTCTTATTCAAAGCATACTTATTTTTATATAATTAAAGATTAATATCATTTGTAGTTTCTCCATCTATGTTGAAGGGTGGGTCATTACAATCAGTTTCGGTCACATCCTTATCATGGGAAATACAAAACAAAATGTTCATATTCATAGAATAACTAGTTCCTTGTACATGTGCATACACTTCCTTCTGCTGTCATGGTGGGGAATCCATCATAATGATGGTCGGTTAAATACATTGCTTTTGTCCCCTTCTTTATAGTTTGTCCTCCAATCTTTTTTGCTCACCGAAAACATGCTACAACTTGCTGATCTGCTTTCTCAATATCAAGGACCTTCATTCAACAAGAATTTGATCATATAGCAAATTATGGTATGTTAGAATTTTGACATGCTCAACCCTGTCAAAATTTATTTCTAATGGGTTGAGATTGTGTTGTATTTCTAGATTCAACAATGTAAGTATGTCATGGAATCAACTCTGAGAGGGTTTGTGCGGGGTGAATTCAGTGAAATTCACTAACCAAGACCCAAAGTGATTTCCGAATACCCCGCTCAGTCCTCCTTGTCTGGGGGTATGTTTAACTGATACATCAACATTGTGCTTGTAGGTGTAGTTGTCTAGAGGTTCCCATTTTACTCTGGTGGTAGACTTTATGGCTCCTAATTCCCGTTCTTTCTTTTTGATTAGGTTGTATTCTCTATCTTGGGAGATGGTGGCGTTTGTGACTACAACTTTCATTTTGTTGTTGAAAGTATTGTTGTTTCTTGCTAGCCATATATTTCAAAGTGACAAGGTATAAGGGTCCCCCAATCTAGCCATTCGTTATAACTCATGGTTTTGAGGATATGCAACTGTTCAATCCAATTAGTGTTGTCTTAGATGTTTCCTGAGGTGCCACTACAACTTTTTGTATGAAGTAACAATTACTAAAGGAAATTACTTTTAAACAACATTTACACTATCAATTATAATACCCAAAACTAAAAAACTGATGATAAGACCCCAAGAATTGGGATTTTAGCTAAACATCATCAAAAGTGAGAAATCATTAGAAACTTGTTTTTTCATCAACTAGGTAAGATTAAGATTGTCTTAACAAAGGTTTAAGATGAAGAATATTCAACACCCACTTCAAATTTCTCAGAAATGGAAATCTTCAAATCTAATGAAATATTGTGTCAAAACTCAGTTCTAATAAAAAAGAAAAGTTGAAAAATGTATTCCTAATCTACAAAGATGTAATGAAATGGACTACTAGGCTCAATAAGTCATGATGGCCGACCCACTCTGCTTTTCTCCCTTTGGTCAATTATGTCACATTTTTGTTTTGTCCTTCTGCAACTTTAAATTTTATAAATTTTGGCAATATAACTCTGTAGCATGGAACCGTTTGGCAACATACTTAATGATCTTTTCTATTGAAGACTTTCTTTTTTCTTTCACGGATTGTCACTCTAGAACATTATGTGAGTTCATGGACATTAGGCATCAATCTGAGTCAGTTAGGTGATCATCATGAGTTATTTTCTTAGTTCATTCTGCTACCTTGTTCTTTTTGCTGAACACTGTCCATGCTTTGTTCCCTAATCGAAATACCTAAAATT